AGGCTGATCCACTGAGCCTGGCCAATTTTTTTTTTTTAATTGTAGAGATGAGGTCTAACCAAGTTGCCCAGGCTGGTCTCAAAGCCCTGTACTCAGGCAATCCTCTCACCTCAGACTCCCAAAGTGTTGGAATTATAGGCGTGAGCCAACGCGCCCGTTTGGTCACTGTTCTTAGATGAGCCTTATGACTGGAATGTCACTGGGACGAGTTACTACTCACCAAACAGTACATGTTATTCAACACAAGAGAACACAAGGTTATAAAGGCATTTAGTTTATTTTTCAAAAAAATATTTTGCTAGAAGGGTTGAGTACTGTCATTTTACATGATCATAATCTTTAAATAAATTCTTTTTCTGACCAACAGGTACCATTTAAGTGAACATCTTATCTAGGTCAGGGACTGGTTTTATAGAAGATAATATTTTCATGGACCAGCAGGCGGGGGGGATGTGCTATTGAACCTCACTGCTAATGTTACTCTGTATTTGCAACTACTCTCCAGCATCAGCATCACTGCCTCAGCTCCACCTCAGATCATCAGGCATTAGATTCTCATTAGGAGCACGCAACCTAGATCCCTCACGTGCAGTTCACAATAGGGTTTGTGCTCGTATGAGAATCTAGTGTCCCTGCTCATCTGACAGAAGTCAGAGCTCAGGCAGTAATGCAAGCCATGGGGGAGCATCTGCAAATACAGATGAAGCTTCGATGGCTTGACTGCTGCTCACCTTCAGCTGTGTGGCCCTGCTCCTAATAGGCCACAGGCCATTATCAGTCCATGGCCTGGGGATTGGGGACCCCTGGTCTAGAGGGCTTATTGAGAATACGAATACCTGGGTTCTGCCTACGTCCATTCAGACCACGAGAGGGTGAAGCTCAAGTGTCTCTCTTTTTCTTTTTTTGTGAGTTGGTGTCTCACTCCGTCGCCCAGGCTAGAATGCAGTGGCATGCATGCTTATGGCCACCCCAACATCAACCTGCTGGGCTCTGGCAATCCTTCCACCTCAGCCCTCCAAGAAACCAGAACTACAGGTGTGCACTACCATGCCCGGCTAATTTTTGATTTATTGCAGAGACAAGGTCTCACCAAGTTGCCTGGGCTGTTCTCGAACGCACGGGCTCAGGCAGTCCACTCGCCTCGGCCTCCCAAAGTGCTGGGATTGCAGGCTGAGCCGTGGAGCCCAGCCAGGTGTCTATTTTTCACAAGCAACCCAGTGATAACCAGGAGGCTGGGTTTGGGAGTCAGGGTGCTAACCAGAGGCTCCAAGAGTCTCTTGAAGAGGGAGTGAACTGCCTCCTGCCCAAGGAAATCAGGCTCTAGTCACTTCCTGGAGCACGTCAAACCCCACCTCCAGCACCAACAGGCTACCTAACCTGGCATCTTCTACAGAGCAGGTAGCTCCACCCTCCTCACCCCAGCACTACCTGTCAGACCTGAGCTAGCATTGAGTGTAGTCAGAAGGAAGCAGGCTGGCTCTAGAAGGCAGCCAGGACTCCCTGCTGGGGCCCAGGCTGCCCGGTCATGCTCTGGGCACTCTGGCCAAGGTGGCTGGCAGGCAAGGGGCCGCCCCTCCTGGCAGCGGTGCTGCTGCGGAAAAGAGAGAAGAGGCACCCTCAGTTGAGGCACTGGCGGGTAACGTACCTGGTCTGACCTGGGAAACAAGACTGGAGGAATCCTGGGAGCTGCAGTCCCCTGTGAGGACTGAGGCCAGCCTCAGCACTGGGTTTTGATTTGGGGTGGGAACTGTTTATTCCAGATGACCTGGCAGAGCTTAAATTAGACCTTGGCTCTTGAAAATATACCATCCAATTGGGAAATGGGCTAAGTCGTGTGGCACTTAGTCCTTGGTCGGTTGACTTTTGTTAAGAATGCTCTGGCCTGGCCCTAGGACCCACTTTGGGCAGAAGAATTGAGGAGCTTGTTGGGAATTTGAGAGGAGAGTCTCACTCCTGGGCAATTGCACTCTGATGTTATCTCTTCCAAGCCCAAGCTGTGATCTCCTTAGTGACTTGTCAGACCAGTAGAGGCCAGTGACTTGGCTGCTGTTCACCTGCCCTCTGCCTCCTAGGAAGTCTGATAACTCTGTCAGGGAGAAGTTGGTGGGGTGGGTCACAGCTTTCTCTTAATATTTAATCTCAAACACAATGCTCTAGCTCTTACTGCAGTTCCCCAGCTGTAACGGGAGCACAGTGGTCTGAGGGGAGCTGCCAGTCTGTGGTGCATGGTAACCATAGTGATTTCAGCTTCTCCATGATGAACTAAGGCTTGAACCCAGGCCTGCTAGATTCCAGGATCCAGACATTACTAGGGTGTTGAACTCCCAACACCTGGGCCCTGCCAAGGTTTCCCTGTGCCTGACACAGTGGCACTGGTGACCTAGTGCCAGGCTGCTGCTTTGTGTTAGGACAAGAGGACACCTGAACTGGGAACCACTGGAGGGAGGGTATCAGGGCCCACACTGGCTTCCTCGAGCTGAGTCCCTGGAGTTCTGCTGTTTCAGCGGGAAACCCACCCATACTATGACCTCCAGGTGAAGGTGCTGAGGGCCAGAAATATCCGGGGCACAGACCTGCGTGAGTGACCCCATCTCTGCTCCTCCCTTTCCTTTCCTTGGGACTTCCTCAGAGCTCAGGGGGACTGACCTAAAGGTGTGAGTATGGATGTGGATGTGACGACAGTGTGTGTGTGTGTGTGTGTGTGTGTGTGTGTGTGTGTGTGTGTGTGTGTGTGTGTGTGCGCGCACGTGCACGCGTGCGTGAGCTCGCATGCAAATACACATTTAAAGCAGGGTCGAGGAGCTGGTGCTGACTGTAGCGAGGGGTAGCCCTTGTGAGGGGCAGACAGATGGGGCCGGAGAGGAGAGTTGTGCAGTCTCTGACTCCTCCCCAAGTGGGACATGCTGCCCTGGGTGAGCGTGCGAGGTCAGCTGTAGCCACAAGCCAACACCTGCTCTCAGGGAGCTCTCCCTGCCAGTGCTTACACAGGGAGGGGACTTTATTGCCAGAATCAGGCAGTGTCTGGTAATTATTCAGTGAGCTGTGCTGCCACATGATCTTTCTAACTGGCTGGATTTCTGTTCAGTCGAGTGGGAGGTGTCAAGATGGAATCAAGGGCACTGAAGCTCCCCCCACACTTCCCCACCCAACCCCACCACATGGGCAGCCTCCTCTCCCTGTTCTGCTCCTCCCCCTCCAGCCCCAGCCTCCTCCAGGAAAACTTTTCAGCAATAAGCGCTTGAGGCTGAGGCCCCTCCCCTGCCCTACCTGCAGTGTCCAAAGCCGACTGCTACGTGCAACTGTGGCTGCCCACGGCGTCCCCCAGCCCTCTCCAGACAAGGACAGTGGCCAACTGCAGTGACCCCGAGTGGGATGAGACCTTCCACTACCGGATCCACGGTGCTGTGAAGGTGAGGGCCAATCACAGGAGGGTTATGGAAAGAGAGGCGCTCCTCAGGGTGCTGACCTCCTGCCTGCTCTCTTCCCAGAACGTCCTAGAGCTCACCCTCTATGACAAGGATGTCCTGGGCAGCGACAAGCTCTCCCTGCTCCTGTTTGACCTGAGGAGCCTCAAGTGTGGCCAACCCCACAGAAACACCTTCACACTCAACCACCAGGTGAGCCCACCAATGCTGGTGGAGCCAAGGTGGGGCAGAGGAAGCCCGGCACAAGACCGCTCGTGAGGGGGCTCCAGTAAGCACAGGCCCAGCATCCAAGACAGACCTTCCTACATCCTACAGCCTTGATCCTACAAAGGTTTCCCTCCAAAACTTTCTTGTATGAAACCAAAATGTGAGCTGCTTGAGAGGCAGTATTTTGTCTGCCTCAGTCACTGCTGAACCCTCAGTGTCTAGAACAGAGCCTGGCACACATTTTGGAATGAATGAGGTTCTGTGTGGAGATGCCACCACTCCTCCTGTGTACATGACAAGCCACAGCGACAGTCTTCCCTTCTAGTCCCTGGAGTCGAATGGGGGAGAGGGACAGGGACAGGGACAGTCCCAGAGGCTTTTAAAAATCAGTGCTCTCTGCTCCCTCCATGTAGGATTCACAAGAGCTGCAGGTAGAATTTGTTCTGGAGAAGAGGTGAGTCCAGGTGGAAGCAATGCCTCCCTATTTACTCTAAGATTCAGAGATTAGAGTTGCGGCAGCTCCCAGATGCCAGTCACCATGACCTGCAGTGGCTTTGCAGACCTACCCCGGAGGGGATGGCCTGGTCTTGGCACCTGTCTGCATGGAGGATGACAGGTGCACCCCACCTCCACACCCTGGAGGCACAGCTGCTTTGGTCACATTATTATTGTAGCAGCCATCACCAAGGGAGTAGGTGTCCCATGAGCCCTCATCCTTTGCAGCCAGGTGCCTGCATCTGAAGTCATCACCAATGGGGTCCTGGTGGTGAGTAGGGAAGACGAACTTGGGCTGTCCCGGGATGGGGTGGGAATGTGAGGAATCCATAATGGAGCCCAGCATGCCCACTTGCCTCTGAAGGACACTCAATCCCTCCTCAGAGAGATGAAGCACTAGGGAGACATCTCCAGAAGTGAAGGACAAGAAGCTGCGGGTGCTTGGGTGGACAGCCGAGGGCTCAGGCTTCCTACCATGTGCACAGCACATTACTCACTTGGGCCCCTGGTTGCTGAGACCACCGCAGGAGCCACCATCAGGGCACTTTACCTCCTCCCCCTTTCCCACCAGGGCCTGGGAGGTAGGACTGGGTATGACCTTAGGGCCTGCCTCAGAATACCCCTCCCCATAAGGCACAGGCCCTGGGAAGGCTGTTTCCTGGACCCTGCCCCTTACCTTTTACCTCCCTCCATCCTGGTTGGGACCCTGTGGAGGGGCCCTGTAGATTGTCTGGCTACCCCAGGCCTCTGCTTTCCTCAGGCTCACCCCTGTCTAAGAATTCAAGGCACGCTCTGGGGAGACAAGACAGTTCCACGTCTAGAGTACGGTGAGTCTGGTCAGTGGCTTGGGTCTTGTCTTCTCTCCCAGGGTTGGGAATGCTGATGTCAAGGAGGTAGGTCTGGGCCAGGAAGTTCTTAAACTTTTCACTGCTCAAAGCTGACCAAGGATGGAATGGATTGGCTCTGGAGGTAGTTACTTTCCTGTTCCCAGAAGTGTTCAAGCATAGAGATACAAATCTGTCCAACTGTTGTCCTACAACAAACACCCCCCAAGTTGCAGTGGCGTACAACAAGAGGCATTCACTGAACTCATACATCTGGTAGTCAGCGGGGACCTGGCTGATCGAGGCTGGGCTTGGCGAGGTGGCTTGGCTCTGCTCCATGTGCCTCTTGGCCACCTCCTGTGACCAACACACTAGCCCAGGCATGTGCTCAAGGCATCAGCAGAGGTGCAAAAGAGCATGCTCACCTAAGCAAGTGCTTTTCAAGCCTTTGGTCACATCCTGGCCACTAACTGACACGTTACTGGCCAACACAAGACACACAGTTGAACTCAAATTGGAGGGCAGGGAATAGAATTGGCTCCTTTGTAGGAGAAGCTGAAGTCCCTTGGCAAAGAGTGAGAATACTGGGGAAATGAAGAACTGGGGTCATCAATGCAGAGCGACACAGAGGGCGACCACTCAGGCAGGGGAATTCAGATGTGCTGTTGCAGCAAAGATTGAGTGACAGCTAAGGTCCCTTCCAATCCTGAGAGTCCGAGCCTTTGGGATGAATCCTGCCCACGTACCATCGAGCACTGACTCTGAGGCAGGCACGGTGCTGAGCATTTTACAGGTTTTATCTCATCATCCTCCTACCAACCCTGTCCAGCAGTACAGTCATTATCCTCTTTTATTCATGAGACTGAGGCTCAAGAAGGTCACACAGTCAATAAGTAGCAGGGACAGGATCAAACCCAGGTCTGTGACACCTAGGGCCCATTCTCTTAACCACAGATTGTTTCACTTCTTCTTATAAATAGCATTTGTCCAGCTTTGTACACAGACCTTGGTGTGAATGGAATACCGCTTTCCTTATTTTCTCTAATTCCTTCCCACTCCCGAGGTCACATCAAGCCCCCGGGTCTCATCTAGTACAATAAGGGGCTGTAGGGGCGGGACCCTATCTGAACTTCTGCTCCTGAGGTGTCTGCTGTCCTTGCACCCTTTGGGTCTCTGTTGCTTCTGTGTCATGTTTGGGGTCTGGGACTCTTGAGAGGCTGTCTGTGTGTCTGTGCCTGGATGTCACACACAGCCATTTCTCTCTGAGGTCTGGCCTCCTCCCCTTTCCTTCTTCCCCCAAGGTCTTATACTTTTGGAAACAAAGGCCAGAATGACTTGCAGTCTATTTCTGTTTTCTGCCTGGCCACAAACCTCCCCCGAGGCAATGCATGGAGCCTGAATGGAGGCAAGAGATAGGAGAAACCACCAGTTGAAAGCTGGTTATTAATATAATAATGAATATATAAAATTTTGTATAATTACATGTTAAATAATTAATATAATCTCAAAATCATCAGCCCTATAGGCTCTGGGCAGAGACCCTCTTTCTCCCTGCTCCCTGCCTTTCTCCCCTCGCTCAGCATTGGTGTGTTTCCCACCCTCCCCTGGAGGCCCAGTTCTGACCAGGGCAGGTTATAGGTCCCCAAGAGTCCTTCAGGATGCTTTTCCTATGATCACAGTGCCTGAGAGTGAGCAAGACAATGAGAGCTGGCATTTCCTAGGGGAAGGGAAGGGAAGAGGGGTGCTGCCATCATGAGACACGCAGGTACAAACCATGCTTACCCCTTACCCAGGCACTCACCTGGGCCCTCTGCTCCAGGTTCTAGGCAGCTCCAGCTGGCAGTGCCTGGGGCGTATGAGAAGCCTCAGCTCCTGCCCCTACAGTCCCCCATGGAGTCAGGCTTTCCACCCACCTTCACCTTCCATGTGAATCCCGTGCTGAGCTCCAGGTTGGATGTGCAGCTAGTGGAGAAGCTCATGGTTCTGCAGGTAAGGGAACCAAGGGCAGGATGATGGAATCAGCTCAGTCCCGAGGGATGGTCCACAACTACCCTGAAGGTGCGTTTTCATGCGGGAGAGCTCCTTAGGTGTTTTCTTCCCTCCAGAGCGGCCCAAGTGCCCAGTTGGAGACTCAGGTCAGCAAGCTGGGCGAGGGGGACATCCTGCTGTCGTCTCTGCCCCTCGGCCAGAAGAAACAGTACTCCGTGGCATTGGGGGAAGTAAGACTCTGTCTGGGTGCCAGAGGGTCTCCTGCCTGCTCTGTGACTATCAAGGGAGGACTGAGGGAGGGGTCTGGGAGGGCAGGAGGACCAGGCCATCCTGGAGCTCAGCCATGATGTCCACATAGAGACAGAGTTACCGGAGCAACAGGGGTGGTGGGTGGGAGAACCATTTCCCTGCGGGGACCCTGCTCAGCATGCTCAGGAGTTGGGGCTGCTGTCTCTTTCAGGACCAGGAGGTGGCTCTGTGTGTGAAGGCAGAAATGAGGTGAGGTGGGACTTCAGAAGGCCTCTCTCTGCTGGGCTGGAAGTGTGAGGAAGTAACCCCGCGTGCTTTCTCTCCTGTCCACGAAGCTCAGGCTGTGTGGAGGACACCTTTCCCTTTCTAGTTCTGGTGGAAGTCCCTTGGGATCTTTCTGAGGGGTTTCACAGAGTGTGGGCCTGCTTCTGGGAAACATGGCCTGGGCCCAAGCCTCTCCTCCTCTGGATAGTCACCCAGTACCCCGTTCCCATCCCACCTGAGGCAGCTCTGGGAACCTGGATCTGCGCCTTGGCTTTGACGTCAGTGACGGGGAGCAGGAGTTTCTGGACAAGAGGAAGCAGGTCGTGTCCAAGGCCCTGCAGCAAGTGCTGGGATTGAGTGAGGCACTGGACAGTGGCCAGGTATGGAAGGGAGGAGGAGCAGACCCCCAGGGTTTCTGGAACCAAATCGAGCCTCTTTCCTGCAGGGGAGTAATGTGAGGTGACAGGAAGCCTAGAGGAAGCACAGAATCAGAGAAGGAAAGGAGAGGACCTGTTTGAGCTGATGGACACAATCAAGAGAATCAGGACCTCATATGGAATAAGGGTTGGTCAGCCCTGGCCAAGGCTGAATGTTTTGGTCAGGTTGGGCTGCCATAAGGAAACACCACAGACTGCGTGACTTAAACAGCAGAAATTTATTTCCTCTGGTTCTGGAGGCTGGAAGTCCAAGGTCAAGGTGCCATCCATCAGGGTTGGTCTCTGGTGGGGCCTCTCTTGTCCTCACATGAAGACATATGCAGGCAGGAGGAAGCCACCAGCTGTTCCTGATCTGCCATAGGTCTACCCCTCAGAACTCCCTTCCCACTTCCTCCCAGACACAGGCCAATACCTAGAGGACCCCATGGACCCTCTACCTCCAAATCTCTGTCCTCATATGGTCTTTTCTTTCTGCTCATGTAGAGAGAGAGAGAGTACACGTGCTTTCTGGTGTTTCTTCTCCTTTTTAGAAGGACACTAGTCCTATTGGATTAAGGCCCCATCCTTGGAACCTTACTTTATGAACTCCTTTTAGGCCCTATCTCCAAATATAGTCACATGAGGGTTAGGGCTTCAACTTGTGAATTTTGTGGGATGGGGACACAATGGAGTCCACATCAGTGGTTAAAGGGATTTGGAAGTGGAGGGTCCATGGGTCCTCTAGGCATAGAAACAATCGGCCTGTGGCTGAGAGGCAGCAGGAAGGGAATGCTGGCTGCAGGTGTACTCAGGAGACAGGGCCTTCACCCAATGCTGACAATCCTAGAACATCCGTCTGGTCAGTATGTAGGCTTTCCCTGTGTTAGGTATCTGCTGTGTCTCATCTAGGACTCTGAAGCAACAGTGTCCTCGGTGAGCAATGGGCGGGGAACATTTTTCAAGACAGGAGAAGAAAGGAGGACAGGGAAAGGGACATAAGACTGGGGCAGAATAAGCCAAGGCTTTGTGGGAAAGCTGAGCAGTCACAATGTTTCAAATTGGATACCCCCAGACATCACTGATCTTAAAACAGACTTTTTTTTTTTTTTTTTTGAGTTGGAGTCTCACTCTGTCGCCCAGACTGGAGTGCAGTGGCCACTCCCGGCCACTGCAGCCTCAACCTGCTGGGCTCCGGTGATCCTTCCGCCTCAGCCTTCTGAGTAGCCGGAATTACAGGTGCACGCTACCACGCCCGGCTGATTTTTTGATTTATTGTAGAGATGAGGTCTCGCTGCCCAGGCGGGTCTCGAACCCGCGGGCTCAAGCAATCCACTCACCTCAGCCTCCCAAAGGCGCGGGATTACAGGCTGAGCCACTGAGCCCGGCTTAAAACGAACTTTTAACATCAGGGACCACTGGTGTCGGGGCAGGTCCAGGCCACTTGCTGCTCTTTGCCACTTTAACTCAGGGGTTCTCAACTGGGAGCACTTTCATTCCCAGGGGACATTTGTCAATGTGTAGAGCTGTTTTATTGTCACCGCTGAGAAGGGCAGAGGAAGAGGGATGCTACTGGCATCTCCTGAGTAAAGGCCAGGAATGCTGCTAAACATCCACAACAAATAATTATCTAGTCCAAGATATCATTATTGCCAAGGTTGAGAGGAGATTGCTTTGACTGTTTTTGGTGAATCAAATATGCCTCCCAGGTGTCTACCTTCCAGGTACCATGCTTAAGAGCCACCTCTGGAGACCCACTGCTTAGGTCTGATGGCTCGTCACTTACTGACTGTATGTCTTGAGCACATTCTTTAACCTGTCTGTGCTTCAGTTTCCTCATCTCTAAAATGGGGATCTCACTGGGTTGCTGTGGAGATTCAGTAAGATAATACATGCAAGGCTCTTGGAATAATGTCTGACATGTCAAGTAATACAAGTAATAATACATAAATGCCAATGCCAATAGTTGTCATCATTGTTATTGTGCCAGGTGCCTGTAGTGGCTGTGTTAGGTTCTGGGGGCGGAACCCGAGCTATGTCTTCCCTATATGGCAGCCTGGCGGGGCTGCAGGAACTCGGCCTCCTGGACACTGTGACTTACCTGAGTGGGGTCTCTGGGTCTACCTGGTAAGTGAGGTGGGGGCAGGGCACAGAGCAAAGGAGAATCCTGAAGGGGCAGCGGTGTGACCTGGTGATCTGATGGCATCCCCGAGGGACTGGGATCCTGCCTCCAAGGGGGCTAGGAGGGGCAGGAAGGGACTGAGTCCCAAGGGTGCGTCCGAGTTGGGGTGCAGGGCAGCAGTGCAAGGGAGGGGGAGAGGGTCACTCACAGACCCTGCATCGCTCTCTTCCCCTGCCCCTAACTCATAGGCACTCCTTCCTTTCCCAGGTGCATCTCCACACTCTACAAGGACCCAGCCTGGTCCCAGGGGACCTTGCAGGGCCCCATTGAGCGCGCCCAGGCTCGAGTCTGCAGCAGTAAGATGGGGGCGATGTCCACAGAGCAGCTACAATACTATACTCAAGAACTGGGGGTTCGGGAGCGCAGTGGCCACAGTGTGTCTCTCATCGACCTCTGGGGCCTCCTCGTTGAGTATTTCCTGTACCAGGAAGTAAGATACTCTCCTTCTGCCTCCCCTCCCCTTGTTTCTGCCTTATCCCTCAGGTTAAGGTCTGATTTGCAAAGCAGTTCCTTAGGTCTGAGCTCTCCTGGGGGGAAAGAGTGAGACACCAGGGTGAGCTGACACCACTTAGCCTTCCTGGTTCCTAACCCTAGGGTAGGGAGAGCCAGGTCAGCAGTCTTCAGCTCTGTCTGCGTATTAGAATCACCCACACGACTTTTCAAAAACACCCATCCCCAGGCTCCACTTCCAGAGATACTGATTTTAGTCGGGCTTGGGCTTGGTAGAGCCCTAGTGCAGGGATGCTTTGAAAATGATTCCAGGCTTAAAAGTGATTCCCAGTGCAATGCCCACTCTTTGGCCAATGAGACTGTGACTCTAGCCACCTGGTGACTGATCCTAGAATTGCAGGCACAGCCTGTCCTGGTAATAAGATTCAGAGCTGCTGCCCCACTGTGCGTGGCCATCACTTGTGGGTGTATATCACCAGGAGTTTCTCATTTCTAAGTAAGGAATCTACATTTTTCTAGTGTGGTTTGCTTTTTAAATAAATTAGACTGGTTTTTCAAGGATTCCTTTTAAAATGTCACTCTGAATCCCTTGTGTTCTGATAGGATTTTTTGAATGGGAGAGAAGTGGGTAGGGTGTTCCTGTAGACCCTGGGATTGTACAAACCCACAGCGAGCTTCCCTCTGTGGCAGCCTAAACTTGTCCCTCAGAGACCTATCTTTAAAGCTCTGGTCTTGGTGGCCCAAAGCCTCTCTTGTGGGCATACCACACTCCGTAGGGGCTGACATCAGGCCATGGGATAGGGAACAGAACTCCCCAAAGGTCATGCTGCTTTTCTTCTTTCCCACCCAGGTAAACCCTGCCAAGCTGTCTGATCAGCAGGAGGCGGTCAGCCAGGGCCAGAACCCTTACCCCATTTACGCCAGTGTGAATGTCCGCACCAACATCAGTGGTGAAGACTTTGCAGGTGCCTGGGTGTGGAGACAAAGGCAGGAGGTAGAAGAAATAGTTGGTAGGAGGGTGTGAGAGCCCAGGGCAATCGGGAGCAAATGGAGGAGGCCATACACAGGGGACTTGGTTGCTGCCTTCTGTTCTTGGCAAGGCTAAGATTCCTGCCTGGGCACAAGGGTCTTGGTGGGAGGCCCCCAGTGATTTTCCCTTCACTTGGGTTCTCAGAGTGGTGCGAGTTCACCCCCCACGAAGTCGGCTTCCCCAAGTACGGGGCTTATGTTCCCACTGCACTCTTTGGCTCAGAGTTCTTCATGGGACGACTGCTGCATCACCGGCCTGAGCCCCGGATCTGCTACCTGCAGGGTGAGTCTAGGCTGGGGGACTGGGCCCAGGCACATACCTGGAACAGGCCCAGATATGAGGTGGGACTCCACCTGTCTCCTTAGGCGTGTGGGGCAGTGCCTTCGCAGCCAGCCTGGATGAGATCTTCCTGAAGACGGCTGGCTCAGGCCTTGGTTTCCTGGAGTGGTACAGAGGCAGTGTGAACATCACAGGTAAAGGTAGAAACGCCAACCTCCTCCCACTCACACCACAGTTCTGGCAGAGGTATGAAGAATGAGGGAGGGGGTGGCAAAAGACTGGCTGTCCCCTGGGTTCAGGGAAGTCTTAAGGAAATGATTTCTAGCTGAGGGTCTCCTGATGCCCAAAGGTGTGATAAAGCCACACCTTTGAGTTCTCTGCTTTCGGCTCCAATTAGGGCCACTGGCTATTTGGTTGCCACTCTGCCCACCCCCTTCTTCGGTTCCCTTGACCTTAAAGGCCCATGGGAGCCCAACTCTGCAGGATACCTTCTCCACCCTTCTTCCCTAGGTAACTTTTGCTCCGTCCTTTCGATTCAGCTCAGATGTCATTTTGTTAGACTTCTCGTTTCCACTCCATCCTTCCAGGGTGTTACCATTGTGCTCCCCTAGGACCATGCACACATACCTGTGTTGTCCTTACCCTGGGACATTGCTATGGTTTATTGCCTCTTTTTGTGACTCTCTCCCACAATTAGACTATGCACCCAGGAGGGCCAGGGCAGGCCCTGTTCACCTTTGCATCCCTCGTGCCTAGCATAGGGCTGGGCACATAGTAACTGTTCAGCTAGTGTGTAATGGATGAAATTCTGATTGGAAGCTATATATGCAACTTTATTCTTATGGAGTGGAAGATAAATTATTACTTAATAAATGCAATGTCATAGGCAACTTTCAAAACATGGGGGCATGAAAGAAAAAGTCATTTAAGAGCGGTTCTGTGAAGCCACGGTCAGAGGCCTAGGAGGTGGGATGGGGAGGAGAAGGGTTGTGCGGAGGGCTCAGTGTGGGCAAGGGGCCCCCTGCTCTGTAAGGGTCTCTGGACGAGAAGGGCACCATTTCTCATCACTCTTCACTGTCCCTACCCTGGCTAGACAACAGCCAGAAACTCCAGCTTCATGACCCCGCGCGGCTGCGTACGAGGCTGTTCACGCCCCAAGGTCCCTTCTCCCAGGTTGTGCTGGACATATTCACCTCCCGCTTCACTTCTGCCCAGAACTTTAACTTCACCCGGGGTCTCTGCCTGCACAAGGACTATGTAGCTGGCAGGGAGTTCGTGGCCTGGAAAGGTGGGTGCTGCCCTGGGTGGGAGGTGGGTGGGATCTCTCTCCCTGCCTGTGCCTCTGGCTCACTGGGGCCAGCGCTGGCTTTGGTCTGGGGGTTGAAGTGTGGTCTCCTGTTGCTTGGGGGTTGATGTGGGAATGATGACTCTAATTCCTGTGGTGGAAGGCAAGGCTAGGAGTTGGGGTGGAAGACCCTAAGGCTGTCAGAGAAGGAGAGAAAGAGAGAGAGGGAGAGGGAGAGAAAGAGATCGATCTACAGAGAGAGTACCAATGCGAATGCAAAGAGAAGGGGTTGCTGGCAAGAGCAACTACACTTATCCCTGAGCATGTACACACATACCTTGCAGACACACACCCGGATGCCTTCCCCAACCAGCTCACCCCCATGTATGACTGTCTGTACCTGGTGGACGGAGGCTTTGCCATCAATTCTCCGTTCCCACTAATTCTGCTGCCCCAGAGGGCAGTAGACCTCATCCTGTCCTTCGACTACTCCTTGGAAGCCCCTTTTGAGGTGAGGTGAGGAGGTGAGGTGAGGAGGTAAGGGTGGGGGAGCTCCTGAGGTGAATGAACAGAGAAGGGAGGGGAAGGAGGAGGAGAAGAGGGCTGCTGAGGGGGCCTGACTGAGTGCCTGGGATCGTTCTTCGTGGACAACCTGGGTTCTACTCTGCGGAGAAGGGTGCCCTCCAAATGCTGTTGGCAGTGTGGGTCTCCCAGCTAGAGGAGAACTGCTGAGATTCTGGGCGGTGGTGGGAGTGGGAAGAGGAAGCCAAAGAGGGTCCTCAGGATTCTTCTCTGCTCTAGACCCTGCTCATCCCTGTTCCAGTCTGGCCCTGGGTCTCCTATCTGTTTTTTCCATGGTAACAACAGAGCCATCAGGGTCCCCTCTGGGAGACTCTAGCAGCAACTCCCTCCAACTCTGTAGGGTAGTGGACAGATGTTTCCATGCAGTTGTGGGCTCTGGTGGCACCGCTGGAGCAGCCCTTCCCTTCTTGGCCTCTTCCCTGTCCTCCCGGATCTAGTGGAGCTAGGATTGGGGACTAGCGAAGTCTCTGATGCTGACCTTCTGTAATTGTTGAGTGTCAACTCATGAAGTTGAGTCGGCCCCTGACAGGGAGTAAAGGGGTCAGAGGGGAAGGCCAGGGTAGTCATGATAGAATGATGAGGAGACACTAGATTGATGATTGCTCATCATTAGTGATTACTGCTACTGCTCACAACAGCTCCACTAGACAGTGATTCCCCTTTTTATTTTACACATGAGAAAACTGGCTCAGGAAGGTGATGTCACCTGCCTGAGGTCACTCAGCTCATCACAGGTAGAGCTGGCACTGTAGCCTGGCTGTGTGGGAGATGGGTGGGGCAGGGCCAGGGTGGAGGCAGGGGGAGTCAGAAGCTTGCCTCCCGTCCAGGTCTTACAGATGACAGAGAAGTACTGTCTGGACCGAGGAATCCCCTTCCCTAGGATTGAAGTGGGCCCTGAGGACTTGGAGGAACCCCGGGAGTGCTATCTGTTTGCCAAGGCCAAGGATCCCCGCTCACCCATCGTGCTCCATTTCCCCCTTGTCAATCGTACCTTCCGCACACATCTGGCCCCAGGTAAGGGAAGCCCTGGGTCTGGGTCTGGCCTACAGAGCCCTGGGATGGTGATGAATACTGTTCTGAGAGTAGACCCCCTGGACGATATACCCAAGCTTGTGTCCCCGGGGGCCTGAGCTTCCCCTTGCTGCCCTCTGCCTCCTGAGCTCCAGCATTCACATTGGGCCATCTCCTCCTGATGGGCCTGGAAGCTGACACATGGGCCCAAGTAGGGAACTCACAGAACCAACCAGATGTTTTGGGGCAAGGAAGGCTTCAGGGCTGTCCCAGCCAGTTCCACAGAGAGCGTCCCAGCCTGGCTTCCTCTGTCTCCCCACTTGCAGGTGTGGAACGGCAAACAGCTGAGGAGAAGGCCTTTGGGGACTTTGTCATCAATGGGCCAGACACCCCCTATGGCATGATGAACTTTACCTATGAGCCCCAAGACTTTGATCGGCTGGTGGCCCTGAGTCGATACAACGTTCTGAACAATGCAGAGACCTTGAGGCATGCCCTCCAGCTGGCTCTGGATCAAGGACAGGGGGAGGAGAGGGCTGGGGGCTGATCCAGGTGGGAGTCAGAGGACTATGACAGAGAGGAGAGACTGTGAGACTCTCAGACAAGGCTTGTACAGGGAGGAATAGGCAGACTCTGTGGGGCTTCTGCTCCCTCCCCCCACAAGTACCCTCTTGGGCTGTACTGCCTGCTCCACTTTCTCACACATGCAGCCACGCTCTCAGTGACCCAAATCACAATTCTTCTTTCAATCAGGAACACCTATGTTGTCCTGTCTTTCAGTCAGGAAGCCTCTGCTGCCCTCACTCTGGGAAGAAGATGCTAGTTCTGGCTCCCAGCTGGGGAGGAGGGTGGCCAGAGCTTAGCCCTTGGCCCTGCCTGGCCTGGCCTGGGACCCACAGCTCTCCAGCTGACACAAGTGGTGACAGGGCAGCCAGTACTTTTGGCTGGCATGGGGTGGGGGACTTGGTTCCCCTCCCCTGCCTCCTCACCATGGCTGCCAATCACAGGCCACCACCTCTTGGCTCAATAGTGAGAGGTTTACTTGGGAGCAGTTCCAGGCTGGTCTCTGAGCTCCTACGGTGGCCAACATCATTACCACTGCTGTGTCTACCACTGTCAGTAACTTAATTGAGGCTTCATCAAGTTTACAGTTTAGAACTGCATAGATTTTTTTTTCTTTTTTCATTCTTTTCAGATATTTTCGTTATATTTGGTAGGAAAGATAGAACTGCACAGAGTTCTCAGGACTTGGGACTCTGTATTCACAACTTAGACTCTGCAGTTTGTCTTCAACACCTCAGAGAGCATCAGGCTGTCTCTGGCCCCTGGAGAGTCAGCTCCAGGACTGGGATTTTTGTCTGTTTTGTTCATGTTGTATCTCCAGTGCCTAAAGCAGCAGCTGACACATAGGTGCTCAGTAAATATCTGAGAAATAAATGAATGGGAATCCACTTTCTAAGAGATGGATCATCACCCACCAACCATGAAAAGGTGTGCAGCACTCTGCTCTAATGGTTCCTAACTCATCTGGACCTTTGAAAATCTGAAGTTAGCCTCAGGCCCTCTCCCAAGAAAACTGCACATACGTACAAAAAGTTGTATACAACGGGGTCTCTACTTCAGTTGTGTGATCACCAGCCCAGGAATGTGGGGGCCAGTGTCTGCCCCCGAGACCAGTGAGATTTGTGAAGGAAGCAAGCCTCTGGCCTTGTGAAGAGCTGGTGGGTACCTTCATTCACACAGAAGTGCAGGAAATGCCACTTCCGCTCAGATTCGGTTTGGGAAGACAGTGAGACAAAGATGGGAGGGGAAGGGAAGGGCATAGGAGGCTGGTCTAGTGTTCTTGCCAAGAAACTGGTCAGCAGGTGCAGGGAGGACTTCAGCCAGTGGGTAAGGAAACATCGGATTGAATCTGGGAGTCGAGCAGAGTGAGGAGCTGGGGAGAGGTGCCAATAATGACCTGGCCAGTTTGGCTCCTGCTCCTAGGGAAGAAGGAATCTAAGTCGATTTCTATTCCATTTCTACTTCATTCCCACCCCTTGTGTAAGATGGCTGGAAATAAGTTTCAAGGTATTGAAGGTGACATGGATGGAGGGATTTGACCAGAACACAGCTGCAAGCTTGGTTCCCCCTGAGGCTGGGTAGAAACACTGGAGCAGGGGCATCATCAATCATCAAATGGTCAGAGCCCCTCATCAAGGGAAGAAAAAGGGTAGCCCCCACACCTGCCATGTATGGCTACACAGGTTGCAGACTGCACAATTTCAGGGGATGCCATTCACATGAATGGATGATGTGAATTTGTTCCCTGGAGTAGTGCTGTATGACAGCCCTGGGACTATAGTCTTAGGGAATCTGAGCGCAGAGGCTGGTTTAGACCTCAGGACGCCTGTCTTCTTCAGATGTCTCCTAATGTACTCATAAGAATCTCCTGCATAGAAAAAAGAAAAAGAAAGTATCCTCTCCATCCCTTGGGTGGTGCGGCACTGGGAGGGGCCCTCAGGTACAGGAAGTGGCTGGTGGGCATGGATCCACCCCCACCTTCTCGAGCCCAGGCCATGCAGCCCATTGCCCAGTTGGTAGTGTTAATTTCTGAGAATTTCAGTGGAATTTTCCTTGCTTCAGTTGGAACCATTCTTGTAGAGAAAAGGAGGGAAGCCCGCATAACACCGCATGCATCCATTTCCCCCAGCACCTCTCTCCTGTGGAAACCCACAGTGCAGCAAACAGGGCAGAGAGTCCAGGACCTGCTTCACAAAGGAGAGAGGGGTGTGTATGGGATTGTGTTTTGAGCCAGGGAGACTGGTCACCATTGCAAGTCAGGGGTGGGGACTGATTTTTTTTTCTATTAGGAAAACTGAGGCACAGGAAATATTAAACAATCAGAGGCCCAAACAAGTTAAAAACCACTTACTTTAGTAAGATTTAGGTCTTGGTTTTGAAAAATATATACAAGCTGGGCACAGTGGCTCAAGCCTGTAATCCCAGCACTTTGGGAGGCGAAGGTGAGAGGATTGCCTGAGCTCAGGGGTACGAGACCAGCCTGAGCAACATGGCGAGAACTTGTCTCTACAATAAAAAAAATTAGCAGGGCATGGTGGCACATGCCTGTGGTTCCAGCTACCTGGAAGGCTGAGGCAGAAGAATCACCTGAGCCCAGTAAGTCAAGGCTGCAGTGTCTGTGAGTGTGCCACTACACTCTAGCCTGGGCAACAGAGTGAGACTCCAACTCAAAAAAAAATAAAAATAAAAAGCCGGGCTCGGTGGCTCAGCCTGTAATCCCGCGCCTTTGGGAGGCTGAGGTGAGTGGATTGCCTGAGCCCACGGGTTCGAGACCTGCCTGGGCAGGCGAGACTGCATCTCTACAATAAAATCAAAAAATTAGCTGGGCGTGGTAGTGCACACCTGTAATTCCGGCTACTCGGAAGACTGAGGTGGAAGGATCGCCGGAGCCCAGCAGGTCGAGGCTGCGGTGACTGGGAGCGTCCACTGCACTCCAGTCTGGGCGACAGAGTGAGACTCCAACTCAAAAAAAGAAAGAAAAGAAAAGAAAAATATATACAGATGTCCCTCAACTTATAATGGGATTACATTCTGATAAACCCATCATAAAGGCAAAAATTTGTAAGTTGAACCATTGCAAGCTGGAGACTGTCTATATATCTATAATAAAGTCCAGTTTTTTGTTTTGTTTTGTTTTTGAGTCTTACTCTGTCACCTAAGCTGGAGTGCACTGGCACAATCCTGGTTCACTGCACCCTTGACCTTCTGGGCTTAGGCAATTCTTCTACCTCAGCCTCCTGAGTAGCTAGGACTACAGGTGTGCATCACCATACCTTGCTAATTTTTAAATTTTTTTGTAGAGACGAGGTCTTGCTATGTTGCTCAGGCTGGTCTCAAATTCCTGGGTTCAAGCAATCCTCCTGCCTCAGCCTCCCAACGTTGTGGGATTACAAGTATGAGTCACTGTGCCTGGCATTCAATTTTTTAAAAACCTAGTTAGCAACACTAGGTGGAGAGCTTTGGAAAACAAGTGGTAAAAGGAGGCGAGGTTGAGGGAGGCAGGAAAAGATAAAGGGAGGGAAATACGAGCCTGGCAGAGAAGAGATGAAAGATACCCCGAGAGGAACAGCCCGGGTGGGGAGAGGATGGGTAACTGCTCCGAGAGAGGCTTCAGCTGATTTACTGGTGTTCACAAGTCTTCTCCGGCTCTTTATCCTTTAACCTCAGAGTGGTGGGTCACACTTGGGCTGCACATTGGCTTCCTGGAGAGCTTTAAAACCACTGATGTCTGGGCTGGTTCTGCTTGGTCCACCCCAGGGCATATTCCTCCTCCCAACATGCCCGCTCAGCCCCCCTGGACCAGGTGGCCCTTTGCCTGTGGTTCACCTGGTTTGGGTTGGTATCATCAAAGCCTCCTTTCACTTTCCCTGCCTTCATCTGGCCTCCCTGTGCCTCTGCCTTCCTTGTCTTCTCACCCCTCTCCTTGGCTCCCTGAACACGACTGGGACTTTTTGGAGGTACTTCAAGACCTGAAAGGGCATGTAGATTTCAGTTTCCTCTTGAGTGCCAGGAAGTGCTGCACGCCATTCCTTCCTTTCACTCTCCATTGGGAGAGAAATGGAGAAATGAGCATGTCCCCATCATTTGGTATCAAACAAATCATCCTCTTGAGTAGGTAGGTCCTGGGACTTGAGACATATTTGTTTTCTGTTTACCATACATTTTATTTCCTTCTCCCCTTTCCTGCTTTCTGACTCAGTGTTCTCTTTTCTACTTTACCCCTGTGCTGCTCTGAGGGTTATACATTTTATTTCTAGTATTCCAGTGGTTCCTCTTGACAGTTTCGTGGACATGTCATTTCCATGCAGTAGCCTGCAAACATTCCAAAAATACAGGAGAGTAAGTGTATAGTTCAATGAATTCTGGCAAATTTATATGCATTTGAAACTACCACCGCAATCAAGATATGGAACATTTCCAATACCCCAAAAGTTATCTTGTGTTCCATTCCAGGCAGTTTCCCCACTCCTGGTCCCAGGTGACCACTGATGGCTTTTTCTCACTATAGATCTGTCTTTTCCTCAGTTTTTTGTTTTTGTTTTTGTTTTTTTCAGTTGGAGTTTCACTCTGTCGCCCAGACTGGAGTGCAGTGACGGCTCCTAGCCACTGCAGCCTCGACCTGCTGGGCTCCAGTGATCCTTCTGCCTCAGCCTTCCAAGTAGCTGGAACTACAGGCACGCGCTACCATGCGCAGTTAATTTTTTGATTTAGTGTAGAGATGATGTCTCGCCAAGTTGCCCAGGCGGGTCTCGAACCCGCGGGCTCAGGCAATCCACTCACCTTGGCCTCCCAAAGCGTGGGATTACAGGCTGAGCCACCGAGCCCAGCCCATTTTAAGTTTTCTAATATGATTTTTTTTCTGCAACTACCTGTTTTCATTGCATGAGTAGGTTTTAGTCCTTTGCTGATGTTAATATATATATTTTAACACATTTTTCTGATTCGTCAGTGAATGATTTCCTTGAAGGTAAGTTTCTTTGTTCGTTGCCTTTCACGGATTCCACCTTCTTTAGATACTTGGTGATTCTTGGTTGTGAGCTTATCTCTGAGAGGTCTCTGCATGCCCTGGACCATGAAGGCTCCTGGCCATGTGTCATTGGCCATGCGATGGTAATAGTGACTGGCCTGCAGGTGGCAGTGTGGGACTTGGGGGAGAGGTTGAAGTTGTGCTGTTGTGGTTCTGTCACAGCCTTGAAGGGATGCTGCAGCCTCTGGGAGACAGTGGTGTGGAGGGTGGCTGGGTAGAGTGGCAGCCCCAGCGTTCTGCTGAGGCTACCTCTTTACTTCCTTTGCTTAGGGCTGCCTCTGAGTTTCTGACTCATGAAGAGTTCCCTTTCTTATTTTGAATCATGGGTTATGAATTTATTAACCCATGTTTATATCTTTTCCATTATTGATATGATGGGTTTGGTGTTGAGGAGTGCTATAGTTTGGATGTTTGTCCCCTCCAAATCTCATGTTGAAATTTGATTCCCAATGTTGGAGGGAGGGCCTAATGGGAGGTGTTTGGGACATGGGGGCTGATCCCTCCTGAATAGATGACTGCCCTCCCTGGGGGAGGAGCGAAAGGGTTCTCGGTCTATTCATTCTATTAGTTTCCAGGAGAGCTTGTTGTTGAAAAAGAGCCTGACACCCTCCTCCCCACTCTTTTTCCTCTCTTACCATGTGATCTCTGCATGCCCTGGCTCCTCTTTTCCTTCTGCCATGAGTGGAAGCAACCTGCAGCCCTCACCAATGCTGGTGCTGGCCCTGTGCTCCTTGTACAGTCTGCAGAACATGAGCCAAAAAACCCTCTTACCTTTGTAAATAACCCAGCCACAGGTGTTCCTTTATAGCAACACAAAATGGACTAAGACAGGAGGTAAGAAAAGTATTACAAAGTTATAGTTTCAAGATGAAAGACAGGGCAGACTAAGATCATCCTTAACATTAAAAAAATTATTATTTTCAATTACACCATCAGTTTTCTGAATTTGTCTTGTAAAGAAATGATTTAGGGCCGGGCACGGTGGCTCACACCTGTAATCCCAGCACTTTGCGAGGTTGAGGTGAGAGGATTGCTTGAGCCTACTGTTTGAGACCAGCTTGGGCAACATAGAGAGACCTCATCTCTACAAAAAAATTAGAAAAAATTAGCCGGACGTGGTGGTGTGTACCTATAGTCCCAGCTTCTTGGGAGGTGTGGTGAGAGATTACTTGACTCCAGGTGATCAAGGCTGCAGTGAGCCATGATCATGCCACTGCACTCCAGCCTTGGTGGCAGAATGAGACCCTGACTCAAATTAAAAAAGAAAAAGAAAAAGAAATGATTTCGGTTAAATGAACTATGATACTTTTAAAATAATGAATAACCTTTAGGTTTATGTTTTATAAAATTAACTCTACTAATATCTGAATTTTGGATTACTCATGTAATTGTCAGTCCCCAAAGGCACCACCAATCTGAACTGACGGCCGCTATTCTACTGCACCAGCTGAATCTGAGGGTGGACTAATTGGATCTGACACGTGCAAGGATAAAGAGCCTCTTACTCTGAGAGCTGCCGGGCCTCATGAAGGCTCTCACGGGCCAGCTGTCATGAGGGAGGAACGAAATAAGATGTGGAACATGCCGGGCACAGTGGCTGGCCCACTGGGAGTCCTCAGTACACAGTGGCTGTTATTTGACACAGGGTGCTCATTGCTCTACACTGCTGACTAGTGGCCCCCCGGCTGGTCTTAAATGGCTCAGTCCTCATCACGCACCACTCCCTGCTGGGCACATTTGAAGCAGCCTGTCTCAGACCTGGGCTTGTTGCTGCCACATTGGGGTGGGAGATGTGGGGGTTGGTGGTGGTGATGCTGACCAGAGTCCTCTGGCCTCAACCCTCACCTAGACTGGCGAGAGGACCTGACCTTCTGAGCTGCTTCCCAACTTGCTCCCTGTCTTTGCCCCATGCGTCTGCCTCATCTTTCTCCCTCACTCCTGATCTGGGAGGAGGAGTTCCACTTCTCTATGCCCCCATGTATACATGCTTGTGCTTTCTTGTTCTTTTGTGAGCTGCGCCAGGGGCGCTTGGCGGTGCTGACTGGCCTCAAAGAGGTGAGGGAAAGCACTCAGCATGGGAGCCATCTGGAGGGTGGAGCCCCACATGTCTGCACAGATCCCTGCCTTGCTGAGGTTGAAAGATTCATGGTGTCATCTCAGTGTGATTGTTGCCGCCACCACCCAGGGAGAAGGTATCTTTGTCAAGAGCTGGGCTTGGAGTGGAGCTGGAGCCAGGGCTGAGGGCCCAGTATCCTAGAGCCCACTGGCTGCTGTACTATCTTATTCCTGAATGGGAGATGCTGAGCTCCTCAGCCCTCAAGGTGGCTGGAAGGGCCTGGGCTGTTAGAAGCTGCTATGTTTTGGATGATGGTGCCCCTCCAAAACTCATTTGAAACTTAATTCCCAACACAACAGTATCAAGAGGTGGAGTCTTTGCGAGGTGATTAGGAGTGGGATTAGTGACCTTACAAAAGGGCTTGAAGGGGATGAGTTTTCTTCCCCTTCAGAGGATAAAGCAGCAGGGTGCCATCTTGGAAGCAGACAGCGGCCCTCACCACGCAATCTGTTGGCACCTTGATCTTAGGCTTCCCAGCCTTCAGAACTGCAAGAAATAAATGTCTGATGTTTGTAAGTCACCCAGTCTGTGGTAGTCTTTTAAAGCAGCACAAACAGACCAAGACAGGAACCTCTTGGCCATTCTCTTCCAACTACCTGCAGACGTGTCTGCTTACCTGGTGTGTCACATCAGTGTCCTCACTTTATGGAAGTGCTGCAACATGGAAAGAGTTGGGAAGTACAGGCCCACGGTACCACCTGGCCATCCTCAGCCATAACATCCTTGGATTATCTGCTATGAACAACAGCTGTGAGGTCACATCCTTTGCACAAACCCCCTTCCCGGCCCTCACCACATTAAGGGGCTCCCCAGCTGCACCTGCAGGGTTTCTCCCTCAGGAGAAGCCCCTGTTGACCCAGTCTAGCTGCCTCCTTTGTTACCCCTCTCCTGAACTGTGCCTTCCTCTAAGCAAGAACTGCTGGAGGCAAGAACTGCTGCCTCCCCAAGACTCCTCTGGCGTCCCATATCCTGGCTACAGAGGGGACTTGCATGTGACCAGGATCACCATCCTGAGCTCCTTGTCTCATTCCCAGACTGAATCTGGCTTCTAGAGTCTTGACCTTGGGAATCTAGGCCTGAGCTGGGTCCAGACAAGCAGTTCCTGATTGGAGCTCTCAGAAAAGGCTGGCTGTGGGAACCAGTTGTCTGAACAGAATTGGGAATGATGGTCAGTTTGGAGCCCCAGGGCCAGAGACCCCCTTTCACTGAGAGCTAAAATGACCAGGGACTTGCCACCATGGCCTATGTCATCCCAAAGTCCTGATGTTTCCAGCTGCCCCAGAGGACTTTGTCCAATAGCAATTAGAAGTACCCTACTATGGACTGGAGGAGCCCAAGGCTGCAGGTGGGTGGGCAGGAGAGTCGCTAAGGAGCAGACTGGGCATCTAGGACTGTTCTGGAATCTGCTTGCTAGACCCAGAGTGGTCTGATGCAGGGAGGAAGCCATTTCCCTATGATGCAGGGCTCTCAGCTCTGCCAGCAGTTCCACGATCTTCTCTGACATCCCCCACACCAAACCTTCTCATTACTAACTGGTCCTAGGAAGGGTCATCAATTTGCTGAGGGTGCTCTTCCTGCAGAGGACCCTAAGTCATAGTCACACTGGAGGATCCTGTCCTGGCTCCCTTTATCTCAGTCCAGTGAGTGGTCCTCTCAGGGCTAGTGGGGAAGCCACTGGGAGATTCCTTCCTGCTGGGCTTGGCATGAGTGGGAATAGAGATGCAGGGAGCTGGGGAGGCTGAACTAGAGCTGGAAGGGACTTCAGAGCCCATCTAGGTAAAGTCTCTCACCCTAGGATGCAGAGTGATATCCCCACTAATTCTTGGTATTGTTGATTTGTCTTTTCTGCTTGAGAGCCTAGCAAAGAGGTTTCTCAATTTTATTAATATTCAAAAAGCACTAATTTTTGCTTTTGTTGACTTTATATATTATCTGCCTATTTTCCTTTTTTTTAATTTTAATTTTTTGAGTTGGAGTCTCACTCTGTCACCCAGACTGGAGTGCTATGGCATGCTCATGGCTATCACAGCCTCGACCTGCTGCGCTCACGTGGTCCTTCTGCCTCAAGCTGGAACTATAGGTGCATGCCACCACGCCTGGCTAATTTCTTTTTTAAGCTCTTTTTTTTTCTTTTTTTTTAAAGTCAGAGTCTTACTCTGTCACCCAGGTTGGAGTGCAGTGACACGCTCACGGCCACCCCAGTGTTGACCCATTGGGCTCAGGCAGTCCTTCGTCTCAGCCTTCCAAGTAGTTGGAACTACAGGCGTACACTACCACACCTGGCTAATTTTTGATATATTGTAGAGACGAAGTCTCACCAAGGTGCCCAGGCTGGTCTTGAACCCCTGGGCTCGGGTAATCTTTTTGCCTCGGCCTCCCAAAGTGCTGGGATTACAGACTTGAGCCACTGCGCCCAGCCTAATTTTTTGATTTATTGTGGAGACAAGGTCTCGCCGTGTTGTCCAGATTGGTCTCGAACCCTGGGTTCAGGCAATCTTCTCACCTCTGCTTCTCAAAGTGCTGGGATTACAGGTGTGTCCTTTTGTTTTTGTTTCTGTTTTGTTTTGTTTTTCTTATAAGAACATTTAACTCATTACCCTCTAAAAATGAGCCACCACACCCTGCTCATTTTCTGTTTAAATTAGTTTTGTCCTTTATTATTTTCTTCTTCTGTTTACTTTGAGTTTAACTTGCTCTTTCTTTAGCTTCTTTTTTTTTCTAATTTTAAAATTTTTATTTTTATATACTTGAGTTCTTACAGCATGTCTAGCTTCTTAATGCAGAAGCTCAGACCATTTAAACTTTTTTTTTAGAAAAGCAGCTTTATTGATGTATAATTGATAAAGAACTTCACATATGTAATGTATAAAATTTGGTGAGCTGGGATATGGACAAACACCTGTAATACCATCACCACAGTCAAGGTCATAGACATAGGCAACACCTACCAAAGGTTTCTAATGTCCTTTTGTTTTTGTTTCTGTTTTGTTTTGTTTTTGTGGTAAGAACACTTAACACATTACCCTCTAAAAAAATTCTGAAGTGCACAATACCGTATTGTGAACTATGATACTATCTTGTACAGCAGATCTCCAGAACTTATTTATCTAGCAAAACTGAGACAATAATTCCCATTTCTCCCACGCTCAGACCCTGACAACTACTATTGTATTATCAGCTTCCATGAGTCTGACTATTGTAAATACCTCATATATAGGTGGAAGCATGCAGTATTTGTCTTTCTGTGACTGGCTTGTTTTACTTATCATAATGTCCTCCAGGTTCATTCATGTTGTCACAAATGGCAGGATTTCCTTATTTTATTTTATTTATTCTTTTATTTTTTGAGTTGGAGTCTCAGTCTGTCGCTCAGGCTGGAGTGCAGTGGCACACTCATGATCACTGCAGCCTCAACCTGCTGGGCTCAGGAGATCCTTCCACCTCGGCCTTCCAAGTAGCTGGAACCACATGTGTGTGCCACCACACCCGGCTAATTTTTTTTTAAATTGTAGAAATAAGGTCTTGCCAAGTTGTCCAGGCTGGTGTTGAACCCGTGGGCTCAGGCAATCCTCTCACCTCCTCTTCCCAAGTGATGGGATTACGGGCATGAGCCACCACACCCAGCGAATGATTTCCTTTTTGACAAAGGTTGAGTAATATTCCATTATATGTATTACTACATTTTCTTTATCCATTCATCTATCAATGAACACTTGGGTTGTTTCCATATCTTGACTACTATAAATAATGCTGAAATGAATGTGGGCATGCAGATATCTTCAAGTCAAGATTCCACCTTCAAGTCTCATAGATATATACCCAGAAATGGTATTACTAGATCATATGGTCGTTCTATTTTTTTTTTTAGTTGGAGTCTCACTCCATCGCCTAGGCTGGAGTGCAGTGCACACTCATGGCCACCCCAGCATCGAACTGCTGGGCTCCTGCAATCCTTCCACCTCAGCCTTCCAAGTAGCCAGAACTACAGGCACACGCTACCACTCCCAGCTAATTTTTGATTTATGGTAGAGATGAGGTCTCACCTGGCTTTGAACCTGCAGGCTCAGGCAATCCACTCGCCTTGGCCTTCCAAGGTGCTGGGATTACAGCCACCAAGTCTGGTCATAATTCTATTTTTAATTATTGGAATCCTTCATACTGTTTTTCATAGCTTTATGCCATTTTACATTCCTGCCAACAGTGTGCAAGGGTTCCAGTTTCTCCTTGTTTTTGCAAAACTTATCTTTTGTGTTCCTTTTTTTTTTAGAAGCTATCCTAACAGATGTGAGGTGATATCTCATTGTAGTTTTGATTTGCATTTCCCTGATGATTTACAATGTTTGAAATCTTTTCACATACGTGTTGGCCATTTGTTGGACACTGAAAGCTATAAAACATTCATGAAAGACATTAAGGAACAAACAAATAAATGTAAAGGCATCCTTTGTTCATGGATTGGAAGACTCAATATTGTTAAAATGTTCATACTACCCAACACAATCTACAGATTCAATGTTATCCCCATCCAAGTCCCAGTGACTTTTTTTTTTTTTACAGAAATAGAAAAAAATAATTATAAAATTTATATAGAGGCACAAAATAAGTCAAAGAAGGAACAAACAAGAAAAAGAAACTCAAGGCATCACACTCCCTGATTTCAAAATATATTATAAAGTTACAGTAATTAAGACAGTATGGTACTGGCATAAAGACAAGCATGTGAACCAATAGAGATCTCAGAAGGAAACATATACATATATAATCCATTTATTATCAACAAGGGTGACAATAATACACGATGGAGAAAGATAGTATCTTCAACAAATGGTGCTGGGAAAACTGATATCCACATGCAAAAAAAAGAAAGAAAATAGAAAAGAATAAAATAAAATTAGAACCCTACTTTACACCATACACAAAAATTAACTCAAAATGTTAAGACTTAAATGTAAGATGTGAAATTATAAAACTCCTAAAAGAAAATGTAGGGGAAAACTTGGCATTGGTGTTGGCAATTATTTATTGGATATGACTCTAAAAGCATGGGGAACAAAAACAAAAATAAACAAATAGGACTACATCAAACAAAATCTTCTACACAGCAAAGGAAGAAATCAACAGAATGAAAAGACAACCTATGGAATGGGATAAACTATTTGCAAACCATATCTGATAAAAGGTTAATTTCCAAAATACATAAGGAAATCCTACAATTCAATAATAAGAAAGCCCCAAATAACCTGACTTAAACATGGGCAAAAGACTTGAACTAAGATTTCCCCAAAGAAGACATACAAATGGCCAACAGGTATATGAAAAGATGCTCAACATCATTACTTATCAGTTCTTTTCTATTATTTGCATGTAAAGTTATAAATTTCCCTCAAGTATAGCTTTGGCAGCATCCCATAAATTTTATCTGATGTTCTATTGGTAGAATTAGCCAATTCAATCAGTTAAGAGAAAATAAGAGACATAAGTATTGGGGAAAAAAAGTAAAACCATCTCTGTTTGCAGATACTATTATAGTATACATTTAAAAATAAATTTAACAAAAACTATGAAAAACCTGTATAAGAAACTATAAAGAACTTTTGAGAGGCATAAAAAGTAGGCTTGAATAAACTAACAGACAGCTTTTCTTTTCCATAAACTGACTTCCTGTCATAGATATGTCCAATTTTTCCCAATGTAATTCAAACAATAATAGCTCGTAGGCTGGGCTCGGTGGC